TATCTTATCTCACAATTCAATTTTAATCTATTGATTTAATATATTCTTGTCATCTAATTTTAATATATTCTTGTCATCTAATTTCTGCCATTATACTGTTGACTTCCAGATGGAGGAAACTTTAGGGGGGTATGAAAATGAAGGGATTCTAACAGATTCAACTTTCCCTTTCCCTTCCTTCTTTTAAAAGTCTAAAAGGCAAAGGAAGGGGTAACGAGATAGACTTGGCTTCAGGATAAAAATCAGTGCATGACACTTGAGATTTTCCACCAGTATGGTTGAATCTTCAGTTTCCTGGTCTTAATAGAAATAAATTTTTATGAGGCCAAAGCAGAGTTCATGCAGAAACCCATTTGAGTCAGCTGCAAAGAATAGTAAACAAACAACATGGGTAAAATGGAAATTCTCAGTTAATTAAGGAAAAGAACAAGGTTTTTTTTTGTTGTTTTTTTTTTCTCTTCAAGAACAATTTATGGCAGAGGAAGTAAGACGTTAATCTTGACTTGAGCAGGAAGTGTCTCTTGTGTCCCAAGATCTGAAAATCTGATGGTGGGGGGAGAAGCTGTCAAGGGTGGGAGGTGGAGATAAGAGGCTAAGAGTGAAAAATAAAAAAACTTGAAAAAAGGGGCAGAAGTTTGTCAAAATGGGTTAAAAGAAGCAAGAAGTTGTAATAAAATTGTCAAGTGTTGCCCACAGTAATTTATTTTAGGGTTAATGATAGAGATTTGAGTTTTGGTGTTAGGGATTTCTCTAGATCATTAAGGCAGATAATGCTAACTTTTATTCATAATGTCAAGGCAAAGACTGACAATTAGAACACACCAAAATACCCTCATTGGGTTGCAAATTCCTTAAGCATTCAGTGACTTGCCTAGCTACCTCTAATTAATGCCAATGAAAGGGTGACCCAACAAAGATGACCTAATCTATATGCTGTATATGGCCTCGTAGTCTTAAAATGAAACATGTGGGGTTAACTTCAATTTGACCCTTTAATTTATATCATATTTCAATTTTGAATCACTTTTCAATAAACAGAATTTCAAAATGCTTCAGAAACTTTACAAATGCAGTAATCATATTATTTGATACCGAAATGAAAATCTCTCTGAGGTGGAAAATGGGAGTTATTCAAGCACAAACAGTATACATTATAATCAATTATATTCTAAATAACAAAGTTTCTAATGCACAACAAACCATTACAGCTTCATAGGAATTTTGAATACAGTACTTAATAAAGCGAGTTTTTAAAAGATTTATTTATACATACAAGAACTGGGGGGTACAGGCCATAGGTGCAGGGGGGTGAGAGGATTCATCAGAGACAGAGTGGGGAACAGAACAGGCAGATTACTGAAATACACTGCTGAGGGGAGCAGCGGGTGACATGGGGGGGGGTCTGCTGTGCCATGTGGGTTACCTCCCTGGCCAGGGATTGAACTTGTGCTACAGTGGCTGCAGATTACTTCATAGTGCTGCATCTTAACCCCTTGTGCCACCAGGGAGGACCCTTAATAAAGCAATTATAATCTGTCATCCTTTCCTCAAGATAAGCAGTACTGCCCTGGAGTTTACCTTATGGATTTCTTTGGTATAAATTAGACCCACTGAAGTATAACCAAGATTTTAAAAAAGTCACATTAATTTTCTCTATGGAATTTATAATATGTTTCTAAACTTTAACATGGTCATGTTAATTTTCATAGAATATCAATTGAATTAGTTTTTCAGAGAAGAAATGCATTGAAACGTTGTATATAATAATGTAATTATGTCAGAGGAAATAATGAGTATAAAAATGACTAAGAACTGAAAAATGAATATGGGAAAATAGGACTGTGCTTTTTAACAAAATTATAACTTAACCAATGTTATGACAAAGATTTATTTTTATAACATTATGTACTGTTATATGGACACATGTGTTTTGTTCACTTTCTTTAGAGACATAAATCAAATTCAGTTGTAAGCTGCTTTGGTCTACTGAGCTGACTTGGCAGGCATTGGTGACTAGTTATTTGTAGAGACCAGGGATAAGGTGGAATTAACAAGGACCTCAATATTCCAAGCTTGGAAGTGAGCGTTGGTGGTGTGGTGGTGAACATGTTTGCCTTCCAATATACTGAGTTTGGGTAATGCTATTAGGTAAGGGTGTGAATTTGAGGATCAAAAAAAAAAAAAAACAAACCCTAAAGATTTGGCCTTATTGATGTGAAGCAATCAAATATTCACACATGAAAATCTGAAAATCATAGGAGAGAGACATCAGAGGTGGACAAGAGATTCACAGATCATCCAAAGAAGAAGATGGAATGTAGGGCTAGGGATGGGTTTACTAAGATATGATGCCCCCCCCCCAAAAAAAAAAGCAAGAATTTTCCAGAAGGTTGATAGGAAACCAATGAAAGAGAAAGGAGAAAGTGGGAGGTAGAAAAATAACTGACAGTGTGCAATGACACAAAATCAACTGGGTTGTAGTAGGGAGACTGTCCTACCGAGGGGCTGCATCAGTAAAGAACCAGTAAATACATTATTATTGGAACATCCATGTACTGGAAGTCTATGTAGTTATTAAAGAGGATGAGGTCCATCGGTGGAGGGCCATGGGGCCTTTGGTGGTGAGCGAGCTACGGTGACCACACACGAGGGGAGAAATCCTATACTGTCAAAATACTAACAAGGACATCAAACAATGGTACTTCATTTAAAAAATTAAATAAAACTTTTGGGGTCAATCTGTATATAAAAAAAGATAAGGGACAAAATAGCATAAGTAGTATCCCATCATTTATATACAAAAAAGGTTATCCCTAATCTTTGGATTGATACACAAGAAACTGACAATTTTAAATGCCTCTGGGGAGGGGATCTGAAAATTGGAGATTTGATAGGGAGAATATTAATTTTCATTGTATATCTTTTTGTTCCATTTATACTTTTTACTATGCACATGAATTAAAAAATCAAAAACCAAACTTAAAAAAAGATCAGATTTGTGCACAGTATCAAATACTGGTAGAAAGCCAAAGAGGATATAGATTGAGATAAATATCATTAGACTTACTGATTTGCTAACTAAGACAATAAGTTCAATTGAGTCATTTGATATTTGAGAGGGTTGCATTCTTAGGAACACAATAGTTAAAAAGAGGAATACTGATTTTTTTGAACAATTCAATGGTTTTCAGTACATTTAGAGTTGTGCAATTGTTATGATCAATTCTAGAACACTCTCATTACCCCATAGCCATTAGCAGTCACTCCTTATTCTCTCATCTTCTAGCCCACAATAACCACCCACCATTTTCTGTTTTTATGGATTTCCTGGACATATCATATGAATGGAATAATAAAACGCATGGCTTGTTATGTCTGGCTACTTTCACTTCTCATTATGTTTCCAAGTTCATCCACACAAATTCCATGTGTCAGAATTTCCTTCTTTTAAAAGACTGGATAATATTCCACTGTTTGGATATGTCATATTTTATTCATCCATTCATTGGTAGCAAGACATTTGTCATTTGCAAATTTTGACTATATGAATAATGCTGTTATGAACATTTGTGCACACGTTGTGTGTATGCATATTTTCATTTCTCTGATATGTACCTTAGAATTGGATTGCTGGGTTGTATGGCAACTCCATGTTTAATATTTGGAGGAACTACTAAATGATTTTTCATGGTGGCTGCACCAAATTACCTTCTCACCAGCAAAGCCTGATGGCTCCAATTTTTCTACATCCTTGCTAATGTTTATTTTTTTTAATAGCCATCCCCATGAGTGTGACGTGGAATCTCATTGTGATTTTTCTTCCATTCCTCGGATTGTCTCAAAAAGACTAATACTCTTCACTGATTCAGTTCACAATATCAGCCCTCTTCAAGCAACCACACTACCACTAGCAAACATTTTTAGGGTATCTTTTGTGGGCATTCCAGAGTCTCAGAGCAATGAGCCATATAACTGCCCTCAAGGAGCTTACAGAAGAGTTGGAGAAAAACCAAACACCCAGAACAGAATATCACATCGCTATCCTTACAACAGCAGTTACTGGCATAAGTCATTGCATGTTTTAACAAATGAGCCATAGGAATATCTTAGAAAATATACATTTCATCAAGTTCCAACTTGACATATCAAAAAAACTGTGCTCATTTCTGTTTCAACTCAATTGAATTAAAAGAGGAAAACAATTCTAAGCCAAATGTACCCCATGGTTTGCTGTCCCAGATAAAGGGATGGATTGTTCATGTCCTAGAATTTCTCCATGGTTCCACCTCCAGATGTCAAATTTAGTAATTTAGATCTCCAAACCCATGTACAAATTCATAGAGCAGACAGCTTCCCAGCCTTCCTCAGGATCCATATTGATGGAACACTTTCATTACCTTTCAATGCAGGGGTAGGAATCTTTCATGTGAGATCAGTCAGAAGCAACATTATTCAAATATGAATCTACATGGATCTTTCCAAATTTCCTTTTAAACTGTGGATGGATGTCCTCTTTAGACTTGGAGGCGGCATGCTTCAGGGGAAGACCCACATGCAGTCAATCACACATGTTTTTTTTGGGGGGGGGTGCGTGGGCTATATGTATTTAATATATACTTACATGTACCTTTCTCTAGTTATGGGACAGGCAATCATGGATTTTATCTGGAACAGGCAATTGGCAGTAGGATGTGACAGAAAGACAAACTGTTGAGGGATTTGAGACTGACAGGGTGGAAGAGATCTAAGGATTGGAGGTGATGGATAACATCATAATTATGGATGACATCATAATGGAAACAGCTTGGGGGAAGTTTTTACACCAGGAGAGGTAAGTGAACAGTAGGGATAATATTCATGTACAGGCACAGAAAGCAAGGCAAAAAGTCTTTATCACTCAGCAGATTGATAGGAAATCATATAATAACATTTCCACAAAGGATTTAATTCAGCTATATTATAGTCAGCAAAGAAAAGTCAATTTAAAGTCAATTTTATAAGATCAGGTTCCATCAAAAAAGAAAATGGTAAGCCAACTTGACACAGTGCCAACTTTTTGAATATAGAAATTATTTTATGTAAAGGCTGATTTCCATAAAATGAGTAACTTAAGAGAAAAAAAATCAAGAGCGGGTGTAATAAAAGTTCTGCATATTATATTTGAATAAAACAATAATGGCAGCTTAATCCACCTTAGAGCAGATGGGATCACTCCTAATGGTTATTGCCTGGCACTGGGGGTGAGTTCTTGGGAAACCAGCAGAAAGTGTTTGTGGAGGTAGCTTAAAGCCCACTCTAACATATGCTCACTCTATCTACTTGTGGCTGAACATACACTAGAATAAAATAAAACATGTTTGTCCCTGAAGTTGCTATGACCTTGATCACAGCTAAGTTTTTGATGGGCTACAAAAGTCTGAAGACACCCCTGGGCCTTTTCTTAAAAGATCACACTGCAAGTGGACCTTCCCTTGGGCACTGAGTCTGGTTGTTTTCGTGATAGCAGGTCAAGTCAGAATCACAAACTGAGAAACTGTATTATGACTCCAAGAGGGGAACCTGTTTTTGCAACTGGATCTAAGCAATGCTCAATGAAATAAAACATGAATTCACGAAAGACTCTAACAGAAATAACATTGCCAGTGCGCTTTTAAAGATAGGGATTTTTAAGATGTCGTGGATGAAAGGTATTCAAAACAAATGTTCACATAGTCAGGGTCTGGAATTTAGTTTTGATCAGAATTAGGCAGAAAAAGTCAACAGACTTACACTACTCGGGCAGGCAGACGTATTCTTTGCTGGTTTTCTGAAGCAGTTGGTGTAAACCAGCTCAATTATTTTGAAAATTCTGAATATTTTTCTGCTTTAGGGTAAGAAAAACTGATCTATTTGTAGATAGACTTGACTGTCATTCAGGAAAAGATGGATTAAAATCAAAGCTGTAAAATCAAGAAATGCTAAGTATGACTTCAAAAAATGAGTTTTAAAAATGAAAACATAATATAGTATGCAAAGTAGCAATTTCAAAAGGGTGTGGAGTGAAAAGTAAGACTCATTCTCAAAAAGCAATCACTTATTTCTAGTTTCTTGTATATCCCTATAGAAAGATTCTATACATAAATACTTGTGCATACACATAAATATTCTTTTAAAATACGGCTTGGAACATATGTTGTGCTTTTGCTAAACAACATGTCTTGGTGATGTTTTCCCCTATTATTAGACATAAAACAACCCCACTCTACTAATTGCATACCGGTCTACAATAGGGATATACTCTCATTTGTTAATCAATATTCTATTTATGAATATTATTTTTCCAGCTGTTTACTTTCTTAATGCTAAAGCAAATATCTTTTCACATGTCTTCATGCACAGGTACAAATGTATCATAAGGATAAATTTGTAGGCATGAACTTGTTGAGTCAAGAGAATATAGCAATTTAAAATTTTGAAAAGCATAAATGGACAGGGGCCTCCCTGATGGTGCAAAGGGTTAAGACGCAGCACTATCAAGCTTTTGGCAGCCACTGCAGTACAAGTTTGATCCCTGGCCAGGGAGGTGACCCACACGGCACAGCAGACCTCTCTCTCCTGTCTCATGTGCTGCTCCCCTCAGCAGTGTATTTTGGTAGATTTGCCTGTTCTGCTCCCTACTCTGTCTCTGGTGAATCCTCTCACCACCCCATTACATCTCTCGCCTGCACCCCAGCTCTTATATGAATAAATCTTTAAAAAAAAGAAAAATTGGACAAAGGCAGTTGGCCTGTAAATATTGACATTCTCACCAATAGTGTATGGGAGTGCCTGCTTCTCTATGATCTTGTCTAGACAGTGTATTTCTAAAAAGTTGCCAATTCAAAAGAGAAAACCATTGCTTTGAAGACATTTTGTGTATGATTGAGAACTACTACTTTGTAAATGTGATAGATTAGTGATGAAACATTATTTTCCAGATGGTGTCTGATTTTGGCTTTCTTTTGGGAGAAGAATCCCAGAGAATGGGAGAAAAAGTAAGTTGATAGGGTCCTTACATAATATACAGCAATGAACTATTTTAACAAGAAACAGTTTCGTAGATAGGTTTCATTTCTTGCAAAAAGGGGAAGGAACGCCATTCTGTGACTCAGTGTGGGTTTGTCAGTTATTGCCTCCCCCTTCCTGGGACTTCCCACTGTCATTTAGCACAAATCAGACTTGAGCAAAACAACTCTTTTTCCATAGGATCAGTCATAAAAGAATGACGAGGCAATGAGCAGCTAAGTTTCTTGGTCTCATCAGTAAAAGGTAGACTCACCCGAGGCTTGCAAACATTTCTGGAACAAGCACTGGCTGGTTTATTCATCTCTATATGGTCAACTGCCGTGTTTCTGCAGGACAAAAGGAGCACATTGGTTAGTGAAGGTAAGAAAAAGGAGGCCATGGGTCCTTTCATTGCTAACTTTTTCTGTTATTTCTCTCTTTACATTTTCTTGGTGCTTTATCATCAGAGCTCAGACCCCAACCTTATGACATCAAAAACGCTTTTCTAATTTATCAAATCGAAGGTGAGCGGGCACTCAGACAAGCATCTATGCAGTTAGAGAATAAAGAGAAATGAAGCAAACACTCCCTTTCCTTATCTCCTCATGGTCACAGTTCCACAAACTTTTTCGGTCCTAAAATCTTTGACAAGTCTGGCCAAATATTTGTTGTGTAATTTTTTCAGCCCTCCTTCAGTAATTGCTACGTAGGTTTAGCATCTGTGTTTTTGTAAAAGAAGCCCCGAGAGCCTAAACAGAATTTTGCAGGGACAGTACAACTCTTGAATTCAGTCACAGTGAAGTTGTTTTACAGATGAATATAATCGCAATAGACTCCTACTGAATTTGACTCAATTATTCATTCAGCGAGTTTAAGTGTTTCTCTGTGTGGCAGGACATGTTAAAAGTGTATGTGATCTATAGTGATGATGCTTTTTGAAATGTCACCTGGGTGATTTGGGGAAAGTCTCGCTGTTAGTGTTAAAAGGTAGTGCAGGCACAGTGGGCTTTAGTTTGAATTGTTTGTAGACCTGCTCAAATATTCTTCATCTTTTGCTCCTCTCCCTCTGCTTGAATATCGACCTAGTTTGGCCAGAATATTCATATTTTTAGAACATTTCTTGTGTTAGTCAGTGTAAGAAAATAGTATTTCTGAACTTCTTGTACTTAAAATTTGTGTTCAACATTGTAATTTGGGTGATATTCAAAGGCAGTGAACTAACTTCATTATCTTAGAGCAAAATGATGTTTTAAATAGTCATTTCAAATTACTGAAACATTTCCAATCACGAACCTAACGTTTATCTTAGACATGTAAGATATTGCCCCACTAGACTTTTAGCAAACAGAATAGAATATAATGTTCCTTTATTAATTAGAGTGCCTTTATTAATTATAGATTTTCCGCTCCCATTTTCATTTTGAAAAGCTTCAAATCTATATAAAAACTAAAATAGTACAAGGAACACCCATATTTCCACTGTGAAAATTAATCTATTATGCATCATTTCGTTACATTTTCTTTCTCTCCATGTATACAAACACACACATATAGTTTTTTTTCTGACCCATTTGAAAGTACATTGTTGCCCTTAGAACACATGTAATGCACAAATTACTGAGCAGGCATTTCCTAAGAATAAGCGCAGTCTTCTATATAATGATGTTAAGGAAATTTAATATCAATACAGTACTATTAATTGAATATACTATTTATATTCAAATGTTCCCAATAACTCATGTGTCCTTTAGTGTGTTTTCTTTTTTTTAAATTCAAGCTTCAATCAGGTATCTTGCATTACATTTGGTTGATATAACTTGAGCTAAGTAAATATTAATAGAATATTTTTTGTAATTAATAATGTTTAACAATTATAATAGCAAGGAAATTTAACATCAGTCAATACTATTATGATCACTTATTATTTTAGTCTTCTCATTTTTTTTTGTCATCTCGTCTAGAAATTCAGAACATGCCTGCATTTGTATTTATGTCCTTTAAGGAATTAAGATTTTTTAAAAATGGTTTTTCTGTAATTTTTTGTCCCTCCACCAAATCACCTGGGCCAGTACCCCACTAGCCTCCCTCCCTCCTCCCATCCACCCTTTCCTCTATTCTTTCTGGTAATCATTATCTTGTTTGTGGAGCTCAATTGTTATTCCTTCATTGTCTGTATATTATTTTTTGTTGATATTTACATCTTGCAGATGAGTGATGCCATCTGAAATCTATCTTTCACTTTCTGACTGATTGAATTCTGTGTAATCACCTCAAGGTCCATCCATTTTTCTCCAAATGCCACCCTTTTGAAGGATGTCCCCAAATGCCACTTTAGTCAGATGATGGGGTTCTTGTGTCCTTCTGAGAAAGAATTCAGCAGACATTCCTTTTTATCAGCACAAGGCAAGTTTATTGAGGAAAGAAGAACAAGGAAAGAGAGATGCCTGAATAGACATAGGCGGGCAGTCTTAAAAGGCAAGAGGTGTGTTTTGCCAGGGCAAAGGGTGTTCTTTTATAATGTTCTTTGACGGAATTATTGTGGAAAGAATCCCTGTGCGGTCAGATTGGGTTGGTTTTCTAAAATTGATAATCCTCTCTGCCCCCAGCTCTGGCTGATAATCTTTTCTGACTCCAACTTAGACTCTTGGAGACTTCCATAGCCAGGTTTAGTCCAAGATTCATTAATCATCCCTACTCCCACCTCTGGTATCTGTACTTGTGAGACCATCCATACTAACTTTTCTACCCTAAGAGTCCATCGGTTTCATCTTTTTTCACAGCTGTGTAATGTTCCATTATGTACATGCTCCATAGTTCCTCTATCCATTCGTCTGTTGAAGGGTATTTGGGTTTGTTTCATAACTTAGCAATTGTGAACAGTGCTGTTATGTACATAGGTGTTTTTTGGTATTAGAGTTTTCATGTTATTCGGATAAATATTTGAGAGAAGTATTGCTGGATCATATGGAATTCCCATTTTTATTTTCTTGAGAAATCTCTATACCATTTTCCACAGGGGCTGTACCAACTTATATTTCCATCAACGGTGGAGGAGAGTTCCTATTTCACTGCATCCTCACTAACATTTATTAATTCCGTTCTTTTTTTTTATATGGGCCATTCTTACAGGGGTGAGGTGATATCCCAGCGTGGTTTTACTTTGTATTTCTCTTATAATAAGTAATGGTTGAACACTTTCTCATACGTTTATAGACCATCTGAATGTCTTCTTTTTTTTTTTTATAGAGGCATGTTATTTATTTATTTGTTTGTTTGTTTTTGTTTATACATGCACTGGGTACAGTCAGAAGCACGGGAGGGTGAGAGAATTCACCAGAGCCAGAGCGGGGAGCAGAGCAGGCAGAAGGACCGAAGTACACTGCTGAGGGGAGCAGCGGGCGGCAGGAGAGGTCTGCGCGCCATGTGGGACCCTCCTCCGGAGGCCGGGGAGCAGCCGGGGATCGAACCGGCGCCGCAGAGGCTGCGGGCAGCTTCGCAACCCAGCGCTCAACCGCTGAGCCACCGGGGAGGCCCTGAATGTCTTCTTTAGAGAAGTGTCTATTGAGGTCCTTTGCCCATTTTTCAGTGGGGTCTAGTCCTCCCATTTTGTGTCAAAATCACTTAAAGGTAGTTTTCAGTTTGTGAGATTGAGATGCAAAGTGAGAATATGAAGAAAAATGCAAGCTATGACAAAAATACATAACACTAATATTTTCACATCAAAATTTTGTATCTTCAGAAATAAGGAAATTCAAACATCAGATTAAGCCCTTGATCATAATATCTGAGTAGAAGCAAACAGAAAATTATTTATCTACTTGGTGTTGTTTATATGAAAAACAGAGTCCTTTTGAGTTATGATTATGTTAGTCATCAAATTAGACTTTCAGAAATTAATTCATTAAGTATCACTTCACATTTGATAGAGTAGGTAATCCCCAATTATATATTTTTATCAGGAATTGAAATATGGATGAGTGACACTTTATTTTTTTGGAAGATTTATTTATTTATACATACAAGAGCTGGGGTGTAGGCCAGAGATGGAGGGGTGAGAGGATTCATCAGAGACAGAGTGAGGAGCAGAACAGGCAGACGACTGAAATACACTGCTGAGGGGAGCATCGGGGGAGACAGGAGAGGTCTGTTGCACCATGTGGGACTCTCCTGGCTGGCCGGGAATTGAACCGGCGCTGCAAAGGCTGCAGACAGCTTCACAGTGCTGTGCTCAACCCGCTGTGCCACTGGGGAGGCCCTTCACCCTCAAATTTGAAGCAAAATATAGTTGCTCATCTAATTGGAAAATTAAAAAATAACAATGGGTTGAAGAATGTCACTGAAAATAGTTCATCTCCAACACTGCTAGGAGAGAATAAATTGACCCAAGACACTTGGAAGGCAATTTGCAATTCTCCAAATCTGGCCTAAGGAAACATGCCTGGGGCACGTGCGATTATTACACACAGTGATAAAGTAAGAAAAACCTCAGTGTTCACAATGGGGAGTGATTGACTAGCATAAGATGTGCCTATTGATATACTGCTTGTAGCTGTTGAAAGGCGTATCTATATAAACAGACACGCTGAGAGATGGGAACCAAACCGTATTGCTGCTAACGAGGCCAAGGTACTCTTCAGCAGATACTGTTTTCCAGTTTGTATTTCCCTGTGGTTACGTCTGCTGGTGCCAGGAGGTAGCCCCAGCCCACTGTCTCCCTTTTTCATAGTTTGGAGTTCTTCCCTGCACCGGGTATGTATCTAGTCTCGGATGCCTTAGTTTGCATGCACCCAAACTGTCCTTCCAGAGACCAGATTGTTCTGCCATCTTATCACCCCCACTTCCCACCAATCGCTAGTCTTCATGCTTTCCTTTTGCTATTACAAGTTACTCCTTCATTCCAAGGATGTTCCCAGTGATATATTTCACTGTTTAAGACAGAAGCTGGTTTTTACTAAAGTTCATGCAATCCTGATGACTATATTGGATGGGGGGGGGGGCGGGGAGGAGGGAGAGAAGAACCTAGAATCTCTTCTAATTAAGGGACAAGGATTGTGAATTGATGGCCAGGGGCTCTGAAATTTAGTGTATGAGATAAGAACATAAAGGGTAGATGTGGTGGGACAGGGGTCAAGGATAGAGAATCAGGGCTCTCAGGAATGCAGAAAAAGTGCACAGATGCATTGGGAAGGTTCAGGTAAAGACCACATATCACGAGGCCTGTACGTGTATGGACTTTATCCCGGAGGCGGTGGGGGCTGTTAATATTTAAACATCTGTAATATTAAATTTCTCTGGACCATAAACCTATGGGTATGATCACATCACCCCGAAGCAATGGGAATGGTTAAGGAGATGTTCACACAGCTAGATTTAAAAATCAC